TTTTGACTGAAGAAGGAGAAGAAGCTATACATCATGCGACTTGGACTTGAAAGTCAACCGAAAGTTCTTGACAAACAATTGACTTTTATGAAACTTTAATTTGAGTTATTTATGAATATGAATAAAAAATATATATATTGGAAGATTCCGAGAAAGGAGGGAAGAAAAAAAATTGATAGGAGTGAAGAGGTTACCATATCTATTTAGAAAATTTTATTATATCCTTTTTGGTAGATATTCCATTTGATGATTGAAAAATGTGGATTTTTAATTTAACGTGGCACTCATAAACAAATAACATGGAAAACAAAAATCAATAATAAATTAAATATTGAAGCGATGGGGAACGCTGATGGATCAATTCTTTTAATGAAAAATTTTTCATTTCAAACTTCATTTTAAAAGGCATCAAAGACAAATACTCAGTGAGTGTGGTTAAAAAATGACATCGATGACGTCATAAAGAAATGAACTCTGCTGTCGGCGAAGAAGAAAAAGTTATTAATCAAAATTTCATTATTTCACATCGAAAACAATGAAATAAAGGAAATTGAAAGAGAAGAACACCAGGAATAAAAGGAATCACTCAAATGTTATTTTCATACACATTGACTGTGAGAACGCGTTGAAAGTGTCTTCGGGAAGTCAGTGTTGATTACTTTAACTTTCAACACTCAAGAAACTTAGCATACTATGTGTGTCAGGATAGGTTGGTTAAACAATATGAGTGCAGAGAACTCTGGCAACCTTAGCAGTCCATCATGGACATGTCTTGGCGATGCTCCTCGAATCTGGATGAATTCCTTYGACTTCAACAAGTATTTTCCAGTGTTTTTTGCTCTCACCATATCTACCATGGTGAATGTCATAATMGGTGTTCTTGGTAACACTCTTCTTATCACAGCAATATTGACAGCACCGAGAATGAACACACCTTCCTATCGACTCATAGCAAGTCAGGCTTTTTGTGATCTACTGATGGTTCTGTATTTGCTGATCTTCTTTGCATTTTTGGTACTTGGACTGACTGGAAATCTCCATAAAGGATGCTCCTTATGGCTGGCTTCTGTATCTGGGGCTTCAGGCTTCTCTTGGATATCCATTCTCAATTCTTTGTTCCTTAGCATTGATAGGTACTTGGCTGTTCACWTGGGGATACGTTACAGAAGTGTAGTGACAATGGGGAGAGTCCGTTGTATTGTTTTACTGGTTTGGATTTCTTCACCAGTTTTTCCATTTTTGYCATTCATCTTATTGGATAATCCCTTTGACAGTGCTAAATATGTGCTTATCCTGTTAGTGTTCTGCACACTTATGATAACCTTGTGCTATATTAAAGCTTTAAAGAACATTAAAGAGCACATGCAATCTGTTAAAATAAGTTTAACTTGCTCTGCAGGACAACAAAAACAGGAGAGTCATCTCAAAAGATGTGAAACATCGGGAAATTCTWCAAAGGTTATCTCGTCAAGAAGTCATCAAGAGCCCTCAAAACCTGCCTGTGATAAGGAGAACGAAACGTCTACTTCCAAGAGATTAGATATGAATCGATACAATAAAAGTATCTGGACGTTGATCATTAYAGAATTAGTATTTATTGTATTAACTCTTCCAAAAATATGTGTTTGGGGGTTTMTTTTAATGAAGGACAGGATTGAATCTAGGGGAACAGTGTTTCTTGCCATTGTGCTTGCTATTTGGCATCTTGTTTCAATGGTGAATCCTATTATACATATTCTTAGAGTAAACGAGGTACGGCAAGCGTGTTTGTCAGTTCTGGTAAAATTRAAATCATATGTTATAGCCCAGCAGTAAGTAGGGGAATCGAGAAAGAAACTTAGCATACTAGGTGTGTCCRGAAAGGTTGATTAAACAATATGAGTGCAGAGAACTATGGCAACATTATGTCTTGGCGATGATGAATGGAAAAGCCTATATAATGTATACTTTCAAGTGAAAACCCGTTGAATAAGGGAATAAAAAAATATATTATTAATCAAGTTAGTATAAATGAATGCATTATATGACGTGAGTTGTTAATTTGCTCAAAACTGGACTGGGTTTGTTGTATATATTACATGCCATGTAACCTCAAGAATGTTATTATAGCTAACTGAAAGAAAAAATAATCATTATCACTTGAATCGAGGGAGTGCATTGTGGATCACATCCGTCGAGAAAATAGCAGGTGGCATTACATTATTGATGAATATATTAAAAGCACTCTATATATCACAAAAAAAATCATATGAATGCCAAAAACCTGCTTTTCATGAAAAAACAATGTGACAACGATATAAAATATACTCACATTAAAAACAAGTTGGAGGTTGAACCTAATAGATATGCAGACTTGTGTGGATATCAATATTTGAGGAAATTTGTTCAATCATGTTTGAAACAATATGGTTTATATTTTTTTTCTTTTTTATCCCATTATTAGTCGAACTTGTTCCTGTACGTGAGATACACACTAGAATGATTTTTACTCGATGATATTTTTGCGTACTATAAACTCAAACTATAAAGCAACCTCAGTGGGACTTGTCTCACGTCATCTCAGATATGGATTTTTGTTGTTGTTGTTGTTGTTTTAAACAATTATTAAGGGAAGGTAGATGAGGAAGAATTATGAGTCAATTCGGAAAATATTATTTTCTTCTTTTCTTCGGAAAGAAAACGARGTGGGAATTATTTCTAAATGGAAAATTGCAAACTTTTAAAAGGGATTCTGATATACCAAATGATAACGATTCGATTAWAAAAATTAAATTTAAATAATAATGATGATATCTATGTTCGTTAGGCCCGYTGTTTACTTATTATTTATTATAGAAAAGCTCCAGATAAACATTTCATGGTGAAAAGAGCAATAAACGCCGGAGTGTTCACAAAACACTTTCCAAGTGTCTAAAATTAAATTAATTAAAAGGATTAACGATTGAACCCAATAATCAACAATCAATCTTTCTTTATGACATAATTGAACATGATGAACAATCTTGTGTAGTTTATAAAGGATCGATAAGGATAACAATGCTTTRTTCATTGGGTCCTTTCAGTGGTAATCCAAAAAAACTACAGCTATAATCTTGGATTACACCTATTCATTTTGGCCATTTCARTGGTAATCCAARAACAGCTTTAAACATGGATTACACCAACATGACCAACAATAATGGATGGACCTGCATCCTTTTTGATGGCAAACCCTGGATTGCAACAACAGATTTCCRCA